CCGGCACAGTGAATTCCCTGGAGGTCCGCGGACACCAGTTTGAGAGATGCTGCCTTATACGCCACCAATTTCATAGAGCGACCAGGGCTGCTCCTAACCCAAAAGGGAATGGCAATGGGGGTCCCAAGATTATTTTAGGGGGGTGCTATTGCCACCCTTCTGTGCTGCCTTCAAAGCTGGGTGGCCGGAGAGTGTCTGCTGACGGAGGCCCAGCTTTGCAGGAAATAGCACACAAGCGGGCAATATCATACCTGGCCAGCCTTCTGTGCTGCTGCTGGCGGTGGCCCTGTCTTCAGAGCTGGGCTTCTGGCCAAGAGGCACCAATCGCCAGTTCCCTAGCTCTGAAGGCAGCACCGGCACCTAAAGCAGTAAGGGAAGCGCTACCTCAATCCCCTCCCAATAATCTTGTGACCCTCCCCCCAATTCCTCTTTGGGTCAAGACCCCTACAGTGACAACACCGTGACATTTCAGATTTAAATACCTGAAATCACGAAATGTACTGTTTGCAAAATCCTGTGGCCATGAAATTGACCAAAATGGACTGCGAATTTGGCAGGGGCCTTTGCAAATAGGAGATTGTGGAACAACTAGCAATAGAGATCAGATGTAGGTTTTCGGATGGGGGAGACCACTGTCGGGATATTAGGCAGCATTTCTGGTCCCTCTCTGCAAAATACAGACGACAATATTTCGATAAATGTTATTCCGAGAACTGATTTGAGAACAAAGATTCTAAAGGCAGAAGAAAAATGATCCTCCTAGCTAATTATGAATCATTTATACTGAACTTCACAAATTTTAGAATCCGAGTCCCAATTAAGACATTACACTTCATGTGTTAATTAGGTTTTTTTTTTCTTTAAATCAAGCCATAACTCTTCTTAATTAGGAGGTTATAGCCATTGTAATTTGAACTGGCCTGTGTTTAAAAACCTCCTGGAAATGACACCTGGGAGCTGTACCAGTGATCCCTTTAAATTGGTTTAGTTTTTACTTGGGTGATTATACGGACCCCAACTGGGCAGTAATTAAAAAGGGGGTAGCTTCCAAATGAAAGCGCCGGGGTGAAACCCAGCAATGGTGCCTGGGTTTTAAACTGTGTGTCCGGGAAGCCGGAAAGAGGCGAGTCTCTGTGAGTTTCTCTACAAGGGCTCTAATGGATGGTGGTATTTTGCGCACAAGTTGAATGCATCAGGCCCGGCAATAGGCTGCCCCTCTCGGAGAGCGGGGATCCATTATCTACTTTTCATTGCTGGCAGCTCTTGAAAGCTCAGTGTCCAAGAGAATAACGTTAGAAGTTCGTCAGAATATCGCTAAGGGCCTGATCCTGAACCTCCTACTCAGATACACCCCCTGCTGTCTTCAGCCGGAATGCTGCCTGAGCGTAGGCTACAAGGTAGGAATGCTGCCTGAGCGTAGGCTACAAGGATTGGGCTTATGTGCTTTTCCAGGCTCCTGCTAACAGACGTTGGATAATACGGGCCCAGCTTGCACAATGTGCACCTCTGAGTTAGTCCAGTTCGCTGTCAGGGGACTGCTCAAGCCTACAGGATTGGTGCAGATGGTGGGGCACCGCGAGTAGCACTCTCCTCTGTGAGGGGGTCTCTCTGATCTCGTCAGCAGGGCGTCACTCGACGCATGTGAGGGCCAGAGAGCTGGTCCTTGACGTTGGATAATACGGGCCCAGCTTGCACAATGTGCACCTCTGAGTTAGTCCAGTTCGCTGTCAGGGGACTGCTCAAGCCTACAGGATTGGTGCAGATGGTGGGGCACCGCGAGTAGCACTCTCCTCTGTGAGGGGGTCTCTCTGATCTCGTCAGCAGGGCGTCACTCGACGCATGTGAGGGCCAGAGAGCTGGTCCTTTTTCAGGAGCGTTGCGGTAGCGGGAGGGCTCTGGAGACCTGAGCCCGGGAGACGGTGAGATGGGGGTTGGAGACTGCTCCTGGTGCGGTTCTAACGGAGCAGCCGCGCTGGGGTGGCCGATGGCGCGAGGTAACCTGGGGTGTCTGTCGGGCTAACCACGCCTCCCTCCTCTTTGCAGAACATCTTTCCTGCGATCCCGGCCCCGGATGGTCCTCCCCGTGCAAGGCCTTGTGTGCCTCGCGGCCTTTGGCCTGGCTCTTCCCTTGGCCATCAGTCTCTTCCCGCAGATGTCGGAGGTCAGTGCACGTCTACTCTGTGTCACACTGCACAGCATGAAGCAGGGGTGTCCTATATCTCTCTTGCCCCAGCCGTAGCTCCAGCAAAGTCGGTTTGTCTCACCCAGCTAAGGGAAGGGGGGGTGAGTTTTTATCAGGGGATCAATTGCCACCCCAGCAGCCCCCAGAATGTAAAACCTCATGTGGTCCTAGAGATTTGGGGAGGAGTCCATGGGAAGTGTGGCTCTTTCCCACCTAGGCGTAGAGAGGACATGTTGAATTGGAGCATAGGGAGACGGAGCAGGCCTGCAGCCGTGGGTTTGGTATGGGGAGAAGACACTGACTCACAAAAATCGATTGCTCTGTTGAACGTTCACTACCAGGCTTCCTCTTCTTTTGGAGTCAGCTGTTCTCTTCTTGACTTAAATATGTGCTTGGTTATATATATGGCCTCCTGCATGTACATCACAGCTTGCTCAGCACATGGCAGTACTGGATGCATGCACAGAGGCATGTTCATCTTTTATGATCACTTGGGTTTTCCTTTCCCTTAGCTGGCGATTGGATCATACAGTACCTGCCCTGAGTGATCGAACCAGGAGTTGTGATGTTGTTATATTTATTACAAAGGATTTAACTCCTGAGCTTTGGAGTAAAGCAAATGCAGGCTGAAGTTAACCAGCAATGAACTGAATAGAGTCCCATGTTCCATGCAAGAAATACATGGTTTAAAGGCAACATATAGCACCATTCCTATTTGGCTCCTCCTTCACCCCATCCTTTTTTTTGCCTCCCATAGGACTTAGCTGGTTCATCCCCACCTGTCTTGAGGATACTTAGGCTAGGCAGCAATCCGTTTTAACACATACTCATCGCAGGGAGGAGCAGGGACCCAAAACGTTCTAGTGAGGCTTTTTAAAAACGTTATCCGGAAAGTATCCTGTCTGCTTGTACTTACAGGGTAGCAGCTGTAGTTAAAACAGTAACACGCTAAAACTGACATTGTGGCCCTCTGTATTATTTCTGTCATTCTAGGTCAAATGTGTTCAGTTCACAAGTCAACCCATGGTTGTGTTTCCTGCCTGAGGGACCTGACAGGTCACCATGGGCTCTAGGGCTCTGTCTACACTACGAGGTATTTTTTTGGCAGAAAATACGCTAATGAGGAACTCGTTAACATAAGTCGTGATCTCATTTGCATATTTTCTGCCGTTTCTTTTTGCGCAAGGGGTTTCTGTGCAAAAAGAAGCAGCGTGAACTTTTTTTTTTTGCGCAAAACCCCCATTTTGCACAAGATACTTGTGTTTCTCCTGGACAGACATAAGGGTCTTGTGCAAAACAGGGGTTTTGCGTAAAAAAAATAAAGTTCACGCTGCTTTCTTTTTTGCGCAAAAAACCCTCGCACAAAAAGAAATGGCAAAAAATATGCAAATGAGATTGTGACTTATGCTAAGGAGTCCCTCATTAGCATATTTTCTGCCAAAAAATCTCTCAGTGAAAACTGGTTCATGCGGTCTTCAGAAATGAGCTGCCTCTTTCCTTTCTGATGCTTCTGGCAGAACCCTGCCTGCACACCCTCCCATGTCTGTGTTGTCTCCAGAGAGTGAATGTCGTGAGCATGTGGTTTTGTCTTAAAGCTCCTATGACAGGAAGACGCACAAGGAGCAGATACGTTCTCACGGCTTCACACAGCATTCCACCGTGTCCATTTCATCTCCAGAGCATCTCTTCTGGGCAGGGACCGGCTTTGCTTGGTGTCTCGTGCACTTTTGTGTAGGCTTTTTTTGGCCAGAAGCTACACGTCAGGGCCAGTTTGTTCTCTTGCTTAAAGGGTCACCAACACGTAAGTTAAAAGAAGATGGGATAGTTAACTGTGGAAGCCATGGAATTGGGGTCCATTCACAACTGCCACTGAAATTGTTTGGACCTAACTTCCTTGGACGAAAACAACAAATGGTCTGGTAGCACTTTAAAGACTAACAAAACATGTAGACGGTATCATGAGCTTTTGTGGGCACAACCCACTTCTTCAGATGGCCAGAGTTATGAGTTTAGGATGTGCACACCCAAAATAAATAGGGGAGGGGGAGGGGAGGAGGGAGGGGAAAAAAGGAGGGGGCTGAGAGACAGGGAGCTAGAGGGAATCAGTAAGTATCTGAAGATTGAGTAGTTAAAACAAAGCAGATAAGAATCAAAGTCAATGGATAGAACCCTTCCTGACAGAAGAGTCTACCCAAAGAGCTGTTTGCACCGTCAATGGCAGTTAAGTTGGTCGTGTCCCAACCAACTTTCATCACCATTGAGTCCATTAGCATGTGAATTGAATTTGCGGATGAACTCTAATTCCAATGCTTCTCTGTGGATCTGGCTGATACTTACTGATTCCCTCTTGCTCCCTGTCTCCCACCCCCCTTTCTTTTTTTTCCCCTCTTCCCTCACCCTCTCCTATTTATTTTGGCTGTGCACATCCTAAATTCATAACTCCGGTCATCTGAAGAAGTGGGTTGTGCCCACAAAAGCTCATGATGCCGTCTACATGTTTTGTTAGTCTATAAAGTGCTACCAGACTATTTGTTGTTGTTTTTTTGTAACAGACCTAACTCGGCTACCCCCTGAAGCTTCCCTAGACAAGTCAGTAAGGCTTAAATTTTCAAGAATGTCCACTAACAGGCCCGCCGACCAGGGGTGGGGAAGGAGAGGAGGCAAAGGGAGCAACACTGCCCCAAGGCCTGGTGGTTGAAAGGGGTCTGGTGCCCTGGCTGCCACTGCCCTTCTTGGAGCTGCCTAGGGAGGCAGGGGCTCTGCCCGGCACGCTCCAGGTAGTGCTGGGTGCACGTGGTCTGGGCAGTGCAGAGGACTGGCTGCCTTTCGCTCTGCCCCTTCTACCTGAGGCCCTGCCCTTTCCAGGAGCATGGACCCGCCCCCTCACCATCTTGCCATGGGCCTGGCATGGTTGTCAGCATCCCTTACAGTTGGGGTTTCCATCTTCAAGCACCTCGGGGCTGATGAGCACCGAGTCAAGCCATGGGTATCTAAAGTTTGTTATCCAGAAATTGATGCATCCAAAATGATATGCCCTCTGTGAAGGTTTGGGCCTTTAAAAAAAAAAAGTCCATGCCTTTGTTTCCCTATGCAAAAAATGAGCTTGTGACAATGCGTACCGACACCTAAAATGCACTTTGAGCTCCTTTGGCCTGTCAGGGTTTACTGATGTTAATGGCCGTGTCCAGCTCTGTTCATATTTCAGAGAAAAATGAATATCCGTCTTGAACCAAAGACTATTAAAATTGCAAACAAAGGGACATTTTTAAATGATACAAAGATGATTTGACAGTGACTTTCTAAAAGCAAAAAAAAAAAAAGTGCTGATTAGCTGCTAAAATAGGCTGGCGTGCTCTCCGCCCACTCATCGTGTCAGCGAAGGCATCACAGCCAGTGGTGTATTGCTCATTATCCACCGGGACTCAGCTCTCGTCCCTCCGCTTTAAGAGAAGTGCGGTTCTGCTGTGGGAACTGCGGTATCAGGCATTTTCATAGTTTGTCTTCTGAGACTCCCAGTCTTTAAACCAGGGTGGGCAAGGTATGGCCCGCAGGCCAGATCCGGCCCACTAAGCCTTTTAATCTGGCCTGTCTGCTCCTGCAGCTGGGAGCAGCATCATACAGAAGCTGGGGAGAGGGGGAGAGGCTTTGCACACTGCACTCACCCCCAGCAAAATCTCTCAGCTCTTATTGGCTGGGAGCCGGCCAATGAAAGCAGTGCGGCACAATTTCTCAGCTCCCATTGACCAGTTTCCAACCTATAGGAGCTGAGAGATTTTGCTGGGGGCAGAGGCAGTGCGCTGAGCCTTCCCCCACAGAGCAGAGAGCCCCGTGGAACAGCCAACTGAGAGCTGCTTGTGTGTGCTTTTGGCCAGAGCCTGCCTCTAGCACCCTACCGCCTCCTGCACCCAACTCCCTCCCAGATCCTGCACTCCCTCCTCTCCTGCACCCATACCCTTCCTGAACTCTGCACCCCAATGCCCTGCACCAGGTCACAACCCCCTCCTTCAGCCAAACTCCCTCTCAGACCCCACACCGTCTCCTGCACCCCAGTTCCCTACCCTGAGCTCCCTTGTGCACCCAACTTCTGCCCAGACCCGGCACCCCCTCCATAGGAAAGCATGACCCTTGACAACTTACCAAAACCTTGGTGTGACTCCCCCATCAAAAATTATCACCCACCCCTGCTTCAAACGGTTTGCCTCTCCAGTCCTACAGAGTCTGATTCTAATCCGTTTAATGGCCGATGAGCTATCGGGACATTCAGCACCCCAGAAATGAGCAGAGTAGGTCAGTTCTCTAAAACCATAATCTCTTCAGAGCCAGTTCTCCACAGACATGACTAGGTGTCCTGTCGCAGCCCATCTCCTGAGCCTCAATTTGAAGCAAGCCCCTTCAGGATCTGAGCATGTGATGTGTTTGGCTTATGTGTGGGCACGAGTAGCCCACAAAATCTCCTTCTACCAGCTATGCTAGCAGACCTTCCTGTGCCTCTCGGTATGACCTCTGTGCCCAGTGCTAGAAGTATTTGTGGCCAAGCAGCTAGAGATTGGACGCTAGAGACACTTGTAACGAGCTATGTCCATGGAGCAAATGACTGGCAACAGGAATGTGACCAAGGTATTCAGCTCCAAAGGCAGCCTGGCCCAAAGAGGGACCATTTAAAATGGGTGGGGAACCTTTTTTGGTATGGGACCCACTAGGCCACAGAGAAATCAGTCGGGGGCCACATGCAAATGAGAAGCAAAAACCAAACAAACCTCACAGACGTGGCTCCCAACTGAAAGGAGAAAAAGAGAGAGACATTCACCTCACTCGTGCAACTCGGGGCAGCAGCGTTCCCCGTACACGCCAGCTCTGCGGTGCAGGGGGCAGGCGTAAGAGCTGGTGTAACTCTTCTGGGGACCCATAGTTAGCAGATTTTGGGGGGCCCCCAGGCTCTAAGGTGGGGCCAAAAATGAGGAGTTCAGTGTGTGGGAGGG